TCTTCTGCACACGCCCTATAGCAAAAACCTCTCCAAAAAAAAAAAAAAGTTCCTGTACCACCAAAACAATTCTGTGCAAGAGAAGTGGAGTAGGCCTCATCTCACTCCCTGACCCCATCTGATTCCCTGACTCTGATTACAAAGCTATGATAATCAGAACAGCTTAGTATTGGTACAAAAACAGAAATGTGGACAAATGCAACAGAATAGAGACCCCAGAAACAAATCCCAACACATATAGCCAACTGATTTTTGACAAAGGGTACCAGACAATCCAGCAGGAAAAGGAAAACCTCTTTAGCAAATGGTGCTGGAAAAACTGGGTATCCACCTATAGAAAGATTAATCTGAACCCCTATCTCTCACCATTAACAAAAATCAACTCAAAGTGGATCAAAGATCTAAACTTAGGACCTCGAACTGTAAAACTACCAGTGGAAAACACCGGGGAAAATGGGAAATACTGGGGTAGGCAAAGACTTCTTAAATAAGACCACCAAAGCACAGGCAATAATCCTAGAAATTGACAAGTGGGATTAAATCACATTAAGAAGTTTCTGCATGGCAAAAGATACAGTAAGTAGTGTGAACAGATAAACGTCAGAATGGGAGAAGATTTTTTGTAAACTATGCCTCAGCTAAGGGACTGATAACCAGAAAATAGTTCCAGTAATAAGAGCAGGGATAAACATAACTACCATTAAGTAAAGTCTACCATGTGCCAGGCACTATCTTAATACTTTACCTTTATAACTTTATTGAATCCACATAACGTTAAACAGTATTATCATTACAATTAAAAAAATAATTAAATATAAATTGAGAGAGGTGACTGACTTGCCCAAGATGACAAAGCTACTACAAGGCAGTCAGGATCTATACCCAAATATAAATCTAAAACTCTGTCAGGCAGTTCAAAATAGCCTTATCACCAATATCGCACAGCTGGGACATAATGACTATCACTGAGCATTAAGCACTGAGCACTCAGCCTCTAAATGCCAAAAAAGTATATGAATAACTCGTCTTCCTGGCAGATCTAAACTCAAATAAAAATTGTCTTTAATACCTCAACCCAGCTCTACGTGTTACAATCAAGTAGTTTTCATGCTACTCTCTGGATACCTAGAAGATCCTCCTTGTATATAGATCATCTTATGCAGTGAAATTCTATATTCCCAAATCAACACATCATGTTAAGAGATGAATTTGCCTAGGGTAAAAATTAGGACCAGAAACAAATCTCCATCAAGGTATGCAACAGTTCGATGTTTGTCTCCTCTGGCTGATACTTAAAAAGAGATAGCAAAAGTGTAACAATATCACCCATGGCCTTTGACTTGGGTCCTGGAATCCAGGGTAGTGAAGCTATAGTTTCCCAAAAAGCAAAAATTAGGAGCATTTGGCAGTTTGTACCCATCAACATAGCTGGTTTTCCCCCACCACCTCCCCAACCAATGTAAAACAATCAGCAAAGATTTTCCACCAAAAAGTAGTTCAGTAGCATGATGATGACTTGAGGGAAATTACTTAGGCCACACATGGAGATATTCAATTTATGTAAGTCAATGCTACAATTGGCTTGCTCATTAAAATACATGGGCATGCTAGTTAAACCATAAACTAAATAAAGATGACCTGTGAAAGGATGGGGTACAGACTTTGATTAAATTACTTATATGATTTATAAATAGGAATATTCTTTAAAAAATGATTGATATTTTAAATAATTTTTTAAAAAAAGTTCTGTTACATATACTTTCTCAGATTTTAAAGATAATAAAAGACACAAATTACTTTATAGTAGTAAAGTTACTGAAATCATGCCCCTTTTGAGAGCTGGATAAAAACTTTGGGTCCTCTTGTAGGAAAAACTGCACAACATAAACCTCAGATATACTTGGGTTCAAAATATGTCTTGAATTTTATAGTGGACTATGCCCTTCAAACAGATGCTGTATCATATTCTATTGATCATCTTTACACCAAAGAGTTCTATTCAATTTTTTTCCCTATGAATGAAACGTTCTACTCCTAAGAGGGCATTGTTAAATGCCTACTCACTCATCATCACATGCTGTCCATAACTGAGGTGACGCTATGATTTGGAAATGCTCAAATGAGCATCCTGAAATAGATCAATACCTAAGTTTATATCATGTATAAAAAAGATAGTCAAGTAATCTGGAGAATAAGTAATGGGAAGGTGAGGTGAGTGAACAAATGCAAAAAAAAAAATCTAGTTATCTCTAAGACAGATAAAATCATTCTTAAGCAATCACACTTCTTGTTCAATTAAAGACAAAAGAAGTTTAAGAAATAAAAAGTGTTTAAAAAGAAACACTGCTTTATTTGAAATATATAAAATTTTATTTTTATTGAAATGTAATTTGCCCCTACAAGTTATCAAGGAGCTGTTCTGAGCCAGATATAAAGCAAAATCAATGTGTGAATATATTCACCCTATTTTCATAATAGATGACTTGCACAGAAAGTGCTATGAGGGAAGAAATATTTCACGTCTTATTATCACCAAAAAGTTAGTAATGCTGCTTCTTGAAATGAGAGATTCACTGGAATATCAAAAAAAATAGTAATTTATTTTTAAATTATTAAATTGGTATAAAAAGTTTAGAGTTCAAAATAGGTTTTCAAATGGTTTTAAAATGGGATGTAACCACTTTGAATTAAAATCTGAAATTGCATAGACTTTATAATAAATTCTTTTTAGACATAAAATATGAGGGTTGAGGAAATTTATTATTTTGGTTTGATTAAATCTGTATTATAATTTTTTATAACCTTTAAATACCATGCCAAAGGTTACTCTAAAAGATATTTAATGCTGAACTTCTTAAGTCCCTTTAAACTGGATTTTTTCAATGAAAATCTACTTACAGTCATTTAAAATATTCTAACTTCCTTGTCATCCCATTATAGGGAGTTTAATTCTTTGGATATTTATTTTACTTACCTAAATCAGGCTTTAGGTCGGTAGGCAAGCTTAATTTCCTTGACATCTTTGCTGAAAAATAAAATGCATTTTTAAAATTCAGAAGAATATTTTATCCATACTTATTCATACCAACTGATTTTCAAGATAGATATAAATACTTTTTACTACTAATCTAGATGCTAGAATTAAAATACAGTTAATGATATTGGGAGTGGAAAGTAAATCTTACTTTCAACTTTTAAGTCTGTACTTACTTGATATAATATCTTTGTGTACTTGAAGCTCTTACTTCAAGGAAGTCTTTTAAATTCTAACTTTTAATTACTTCTTAGGCTCATAGAAAAGGGTTGGCTTTTCTAAGAGGAGAAAAGTCATTTCTCAGGAGAAAGGTGTTGCAGATATGGACAATAGAGACATAAGATTAAGTTTGAGTAAGAGATGTAAAATCTTTCCAGCTCATTGTCTTTGTAGTTATTGGGCTCATTATTGTTTTAAGTTAATTTCTAGGTTATAGGACAAATCCGTATTTGTCAAATCAGAGCATTTGATTACATCATAAAATATCTGACTCAACCATTACTTGATATAAATGAACACTTCCATTTTTCATTTCAGTGAAGAAAACAAAAAGCACCAAAGTCATGCTGAATCTAAAATTACAATATTTATATAAACTGTAAACGACATGTATTTTTATGTAATATTTTTTAAAAAGACTAATGCATAAACGTACTGGAATTCACTTTCCATCCTCAAAATCAGTTTTTACCTTAATTTAGGAAGTGATCTGAAGTTAGGGGGGTTGTTCAACTATATCTATTACGTTAGTGGTAGTGCATGCGTAACAGAACAATGCTTCTTATGCAAAATTTTGAGAAAGCATTTGCTTGTTAATATGTGAATGTGTACATTGGGTTAAACTTTGGACTGTTAGGAGATATTTAAAGCACAGACCCTGCTAGTCCATAAAGGCGCCATGTAAACAAAGAGAAATCCAGTCATAGTACATAACTTCCCCATCTAAAAAAATGACAAATCCAGTGTTAGGAGAAAGGCATTAGGCAGACTACGAAGGGACTCAGGGGGAGGAGGTGCATCAAGTTTTCACTTGTAAGTGTTGATATCCTAATTAGTCACCTTTAACAAACAACAATGGGGCTAATTTATAAATTAGTCATTCAATTTTCATTGACTTAAGAAACTTCAGTTAAAAGAAAAAAAAAAAAAACTTAATAGAAAACTTAAATAGCCAAAGTAAAATTCATGGTTAGCTGATCCCATACAAGGTTGCTATTGTATTTGCTATCTAATACACTAAAAATGAGAAGGTATTATCACCCTCACCCAGCCTTCTAAAAGGCAGTATTAAACACTTTGAAAGAATTCAGAGGTTTTCACTGAATATCATGAATACAGTGTACACAGACTAGTATTATCTGTAAGCAGACTTCAAAGTTGGTGGGGGAAAAAATACTGAAAAGCAAGTTCAGTGAAATTAGAAATCCATGCATAGCTTTTCTGTAATGTGCACTTTCCATTAACTTTTTGAAGACATCAAATACATAATGTGCCTGGTATCTGAAGAAGTAAACCGACCTCGCACATTCTAAAGATACTATTAGAATCAGAAGATATGGACATCACTACTTTAGACTTCATTACTCTGATTTGATCAAGTTATTCAAGGTCTTTGAGACCTGTGCTTCTCGAACTTGAATGCATACACTCATCACCTGAGAGTACTATAAATGCATATTCTGATTCTGTACCGCAGTCTGAGCGTCATTTGTAGCAAGGTCCCAAGAGATACTGATGCTGATGGTCTGTGGGGCACACTTTGATGTAGCAAGATCCCTAGACTATAAGCAACTTCAGGGTAGAAATCAAGACAAACTCGTGAAACCCAGAATGTGTTTATTCAGGAGGTCCACTGTAAAAAATAGGAAGATCAGGAAAGTAGTGCTCTTTCACTTCAGTACACAAATATTCCTTCTTCCTGATTTTTAGCTGTATTATTTCTCACGTTTCCAAGTTCTAGAAGTGTTTCAAGTCTGTCTGGGCCTCCCTGATGGCAAGTCCAGAAAAGGCAGACCACCTCTGGACAAGTTCTGTGCAGCCCTCCTGGCTTATACCCTGTACCTTGGTGTATGTTTATAATGAAGGGGTTGCAGACTTTTATCTTAGCAACTATCTGATGCTCATATTTTTTCTTTGAAGTGCTTAACAATCCAGTTACCCTGCCAACTGTTTCCTGCACTTACTAAGAAACTTGTACTCATGCCTTGGGGACCAGCAGTTGGTGTAATGGCTATGTCGCTGGACTCCCACGTAGTCGACTGCGGTTTGCGTCCTGGACCCAGTGGCTTAAAACTCATGCCAGGCACATGTGCGTGCATGTCCAAGATCCCGGGAGGAGAATGGAGGAGAAGGGACTGTGGCATGGCCATCCCCCCTGGGGGGTGATTTCTCGCTTTCTGTCTCTATGTCTGTCTGGCAAGCACATGCGCCCTATAGCAAAAACCTCTCAAAAAAAAAAAAAAGTAACTTGTACTCATGCCTTGAAGTTATGCATTTTCTATTATGGCCTAAAACTGAAGGCATACAATAGAATGAGGTCTGGGAAGACACTTTTTTTTTCTTCAGATGTTTATTCTTCAACCCTTACACTGACACTTGGTATCTGCTTTGAAATCTTTTGTCATGGGAGAGTACAAACTAGCTCTTTTTCTATGCTTTTGTCTACAGTACAAATAATGCAAATCACAACAGAGACGCTTCTTCAATATGAGAAAAACTATTGTCATAGATATGTCTAAGATTGTTAACCTGGATCTTGGCTCTCTGTTCTTACAGATCTGAATGAGGACCTCAAGCTGACCAGGAGTGTGAGAACTGTTTTGTTTTGGTAGAAATAATGAAATTATACTTAATCAAAAAAATCTTATCTATAATCCAAGTTTCAGTATCAATAAAAATGTCTCATGTCCAGGAAAAGTAATTATTTGGACAAGAGGACTATTTGGATCATTATACCATAAATTAGAATTCCATCATGGTTGATGCTTTTTAGTCCTTTGCAAATGCAAAAATCTTCATTAAGATTTCTCAACTGTGCAGATGCTCACTGTTTCTTTGAAATTAAACAATTATTTTGTAATTTCTCTTTGGCATTTCTACCCACTGCCTACATCTTATTTTTCTAAAGACATGTTACAAGAAAGAAAAAGTATAACTTTTACTTTTTAGAATGTATCCTTTATAGGAAAACTATTGGTTAGCACTAGTAAAAGGTAAAGTAACTTACTATTATGGCAGTATGATGAAGTTACCAAAAGAACAAATTCGTTTTTGTTTACACTGAGTTCAATAGTTAGAATAAAACAATGATCACTTTTCTCAACACAGGCAGAGAATCAATGGTAGTCTTTTCAAAGGGATGATATTGAAATATATGAGTATTAAATTACACACGAAAGAATAGTAAAGGGACTGAAAATCAGCTTATAGAATATGGCAAGCAATCCAAGAAGAAAAGTAGGACTAAGAAGTAGAAGCTCTTATCGTTTATAGGACATTAGTTTTTTAAGATTTATTTCATGAAAATAATAAGAGAAAGAGAGAGTCAAGCATTCTCAACAGTGCCTCATGCCACCACAATCCTCCCCCCATTAGACAGGCAGGATCGTGAATGCACGTGCCTGGCATTTACAGGTCAACCAGGGAACTGAACCTTCATATAGATCCAGCATCACTTGAGCAGTGTGTTACCACTGCAATATCAAGCCAGGCCTATCAAATGTTACCTAATAGACATTAGAACAAATAATACCGATGTTTGGCTCCCATATGAGGAGATCAATTCCTAGAGTTCAGAAACAAAAAGTGTATTGAAGGTATTTTATCTATGTATGTATCTTACATTTACTATGTGCTCAATAAATATCACAATAGATAAATGAGTAATCACTGGAAATTCACTTCTATAAAAAGCTAAGGGACCAGCACATGGCTTAATGATTTCTTCACTGGACTCCTATGTAGTTGACTATGGTTTGGGTTCTCAGCCCAGGAGCTTGAAACTCATGTGGGGCTCATGGGCATGAGTACCCAAAATACCAAGAGGAGAATAGAGGAGAAGGTATTGCTGTATAGCCAACCCTCCCACTCCCAGAAGGTGATTTCTCGCTTTCTCTCTGTCTCTCCAGCGAGAGCATGTGCTCTATAGGAAAAGTCTCTCTTAAAAGAAAAAAAAAAAAAAAAGCTGAATTTCTTCATGAATGAAATAAAAAGGAAAAAAAGGCAAATTAAATATAGGTAATCAAAAAGGTGATTTTTTTGAAAATATGCATAAAACATAAGAAACAAATATATCAGTATTGTCCAGCAAATATTTGGCTACAGCAAGTTCTTTTCATTCTTATATCTTCTACGGCATTTTGTTTCCAAATGTTTTACCCTAATTTTTTGTGTCAAAAATTTATAAATTTAATATCTAATAATATTAACATAATTAAATTGTTTGCAACGTTTCAGAAAATTTTCTACCAAAGTATTACATAAACCTAGCACAGTACTTCTGTGTCCCTACAAAATACATGTGTAGAAACCTTAACCTCTGTTCTTCATAATGTCATACTATATTTAGTATTTAGGGACATGGCATTTAAAGCAGCAGCTATCTGCCACCAAGCATGCACGGCAGAAGAAACCAAACCTGTTCAAACCTTGGACTTCCAGCCTCCACAACAGTGAGAAAATAAACTGTTGTTTAAGCTACCAAGTCTGTGGTATTTTTTAATGGAAGCACTTTATAAAACCAGAATGTAATGAAAGAATATAGTTCTATCCTATCATAGTACTGATCAAATAATAGTTGACAAAGGTATTATTTCAGTAAGTAATTTTGACTAACTTTGCTTATGTTAAGCAAACAGCAAATCATTTCTAGAAAGATCATTGAACACCATTCTACTGTAAGAAAAAGAGGGTTCTACAGAAAGGTAAATATATATCATATTGGAGTAATAAAAACAAACATTGAAGCATATTTTATTATAAAATTGAGAACA